TCCTTAAACTAGTTGACTATACTATGCCCATAGACATTTTAAGATTATGTGTGTATTATTTTTGTCTCATCCTTTATATATCATAGCAAACCTGCACAGACCTTCATCGCTTGCTTAGGTTCTCATATTTTTCTGTCTAGTTTAGAAAATACCGCCATTCCCATATCCTTTTAACACCTTTTACATTCTCATTTTCTTTTTTTTTAAGTACTTATGAGACATAATAGCATTAACAAATAAATTTTCCATCTGTTATGAGACGTTTTTTCCTGGGGATGCTAAGCAATGCTTATTCCCTTTTAAGGTTCTAGTGTCAAGCTTGATTAAAGTTTTACTGGGGAACCAATGAATTTTCTGAGCTTACTTACCGAGATAACTGAGGGGTTGCCGAGGTGTATGTATGACCTGAGGGTATGCACACTAGAAATCTTTTACCCAACATGGGTCATGCCTTCTCTTCCTAGCTTTCCCCAGACTGTATACTTTAGCCCTCTCCAAATCAGGAGGCCATGTGTGATTAGGCCAAATTATATACAGTTGCCTGGGAATAGTGGCTGGATACTCCAGTGAGGGTCCATGACCCTGCTTGGCCTTCCTTTAATAACTGAGCACAACCGTCAACAAGCTTAATTGTGACGATGTTTAGCGATCAGGCTTGGCTGAAGTCATGATGATGGTAGTTATTTCATGCAGAAGGGACTGCTGTATAGCATCTTCTTATTAAAAGGACCACCACATGGAGGCAGGATCTGGGGGCTGTCAGGCAGTCCCCTGCATTCTCAGGCCCTGTGCCAGAGGGAGGCCAGAACTTGGCACTCTCTGGAGGTCTGCTGAGATTAGAGCCGCTACACCAATGGAGGTCTAAACCCACCCTCTCAGGCTGTCTGCTAGGATCTCCTTAATTTTGCTCTTTTATTTATTATTTTTATTTTATGTGTATGCGTGTATTGCCTGCATGTAGGTAAGTGCACCCATGTTGTGCAATGCCTGTGGAGGACAGAAGAGGCTGTTGAGTCTTCTGGAACCAGAGTTAGGGACAGTTGTTAGCTGCCATGTAGCTTCCATTGAGCCATTTTCCAGCCCTCCCTGTACTTTTTTTATTTTCTCTCAGAATTGACTTTAAAAGTTTTCTTTTTTCGGAAGGCAATGTCTACTGCCAAATGAATGCTTTAAATCTTTTAAGTTGTAGAAAGTTCCTTGCCCATTATTCTGACACCTTGGGCAATTATCCAGGAAAACAAAGCTATGTAATGTCCTCCTACAAATCAGTTGTCTCATGGTTGAGGAGATGGATGTGCCCCTTTTCTGCTAGTTTCTTTCTACTGTGATTTTCAGAGGTCTCCTTGAAAATGGATCCATCCATTTTCTGAGAAATTAATAGGAACAGAAGCAATTTTTAGGGTTGTGTTAGCAAGTTCTGTCATGTGTGGAATACTCTTAAGAAACCCTCTACATCTTTGCCAGGAGAGATGGCTCAGCAGTTAAGAGTACTTAGTGCTTTGGGGGAGAGGTTCGGATATGGGAGATCTAAATACCATCAGAATATAATATATGAAAATCACAAAAATTCCATTAAAAAATAAATTTTGTTTTTCAAAAAGAGCACTTGTTGGCCAGGCGTGGTGGCACACACCTTTAATCCCAGCACCAGGAGGCAAAGGTAGGGGGTATCTCTGTGAGTTTGAGGCCAGCCTGGTCTCCATAGTGAATCCAGAACAGCTGGGGCTACAGGGAGACCCTGTTTTGAAAAGACCAAAAAAATAGGTTAAAGAGGACTTTCTGGAAGAGGTGATACCTGAGCTGCCTCATGAGACACGTAGCAGGGACACATGGGAGGGCATTTGAGACAGTGAGTTAAAACTACAGAAAACTGTGGCTAGAAAGATGGCTGAGTGGTTAAGAGCCCTGGCTGCTCTTGCAGAGGACCTGGGTTCCTGGCAGGCATAGTGGGTGCATGCCTTTAATCCTGTTCTGGTCAGTGGTTAAGAACACTGAATGTTCTTGCAGAAGACCCAGGTTCAAATCCCAGCACCCACATGGCAGCTAACAACTCCAGTTCCTGGGAATCCGACAGCTTCTTCTGTCCTCCATGGGCATTGCATGACACAGGTGCACTTACCTACATGCAGGCATAACACTCATACACATAAAAAATAATAATAAATTTTTTTTTAAATAACAAAATATTTCAGAAACCAAAGAAACCCTATACATCTTCATACAAACGTATGTGTTCTGCATACACAGTACATATACCCACAAAAAGGATTATTTTATTTTTTTAAATATTATTTATTTTTGTATGTATATGATGTGTTGGGGGCAGTCATGAGTGTGCAATAGGTTAACTTTGTGGATTTGGTTTTCTCTTTTAACCTTTACATGGATTCCAGGGATCAAATTTAGCTGGTCAATCAGGCTTGTCTGACCAGTGCCTTTACCTACTGAGCTATCTCCTGAGCTTTTAGGGGGATTCTTGAAATATCAGCATACATCCTTTCCTTGTGAGCATAATTATAAAACTCTTTTGGAATCTCTTACACTCTGATTCTGCTGTGTTTTACATGTTTTCTGGAACTAGAAGTGGTCAGTGAGAGGTAGACCAGTCCAGGAACACCAGGAGCTGGAAGATTAGTCATACTGACAGATAGGTCCAGTCAGATGGCACAGTATATGCCCTGAAGCAGATTGGTAAGATGCAAATGTAGTTATTCTCTAAAATGAGTAAGAAATAGAAGGTAGTTCAGACAGCTAACTAGTCATTACAGTTTGGGAAGTCCAACAAGGAATTTAGAACAGAGATCTGAGGCTGGAAAGATGGCTCAAGTGGTTAAAGCATTTGCCGCACTAGTGAGAGGACGTTTGGATCCCTAGAACTCATGTAAATGCCAGATAGGCATGGTGCCTGCCTGTAATTCCATCCTTAGAAGGCAAAGACAGGGGATCCCCAGGTAAGTTGGCGAGTAAGACAACTGTGTTGATGAGCCCTAGGTTTGATTGAGAGACCCCACTTCAATGAATAAGGTAGAAGAGCATCAAGGATAATTCCTAGCATCGACCTCAGGCCTCCACATGTATGCACACATACACACACACACACACATGAAAACAGAATCATGAATCAACACATGAAAATAGGAAAAGGAAAGAAAGATGGAGATTCTGAAGTGGATGGATATTCATCAAAGAGGTGTTTAAATGGCAAGTACCAGGCTTTCAACTGTGAGGTCAGCATCTAAAGGCTACAACCAAACATGAGAGTAGACAAAAGGGAGAAGCAGAACCAGAACAGGCTTGGCTTGCTGCCATTCTGTCCAAGCTGGCTGGCTAGAATACCTCAATCCAAAAGATTCCAAATAGACCTCATCCCAATCTGGAGTTGAGTGTGCTGGTAGAAATGTAATGATTCCAACTTAAAAGATGGAGGCAAAGCAGAAGTGTCCCTGATGTTGCTCCCAGAAAGAGCTGCAGAGATCTGCTGATAAACGGCTTCTTTTGTTCCTCCCCCACCTTGTAGAGTACCTGAGATCAAATTCGTGACGGGCTAGGCAGATGCTCTGCTACTCAGCTACAGCCCCGGCCCTATGACTCTTAGAGTATTCCCATCTTTTGACATCTTGCCTCTGCCTTCCCTCCTTGAGTACCCCAACTTGACTTTTCTGGGTAGAGTCTGGTATCTCATCACAGATGGCTTTTAATAAACCAGAAGATGGGCATTTCTTCTTGTGCCCTTCTTCCCTAGCAGCAAGGTCAGTGTACTTGCAGTTGATACATTTGATGCTAGTTTCTAATAGGAAAAGAGTACAGAGCACAGGTATACAAGTAACAGTAAAGGTTCCTTTGTTTCAGGGGCAGGGGATGTTGTTTTAAATCTGTGCTGAGGATTGAGCCCATGACCTCACACATGCTAGGCAAATGTTCTGCCACTGAACTTCACCCCCAGCCCGTGTTTGAAGTTCTTATGATCTCTAGATGAACCAGTGGGCTTTCTTAGCCATTCCTGTTAACCCTGGCCTCAGTTGTTCCTGGGAAGGAATACATCTTTCTGAAGACTTTTTTTTTTTTTTTTTGTCTTTTTGAGACAGGGTCTTCCTGTAGCCCCAGCTGGCCTGAAACTCACTATGTAGACCAGTCTGGCCTCAAACTCACAGAAATCTGCCTGCCTCTGCCTCCTGGTGCAGGGATTAAAGGCATGCGCCACCATGTCTTGCTCTAAGGACTTTTTAACAACCATGGTATTGTTTGAGACAGAATCTAACTATGTAGCTCAAGCTGGCCTCCAACTCATGATGCCCCTGCCTCAGCCTCCCCAGTGCTGGGATTACAGGCATGTGGCATTACCCATCTCTTACTCTCTTTTTTCTCACGCTGTTCTTTTTGTTGTTGTTGTTGTTGTTGTTGTTCTTTTTGAGACAGGGTCTCCCTGTTAGTCTCAGCTGGCCTGAAACTTGAATTCACAGAGATGTGCCTGCCTCTGCCTCCGGAGTGCTGGGATTGAAGGCATGCGCCACCATATCTGGCCTGGCTGTTCTTTTTTAAATTAGTCAATAACATACCTAAAAGAGTCTTTCCTGTAGCACTTTTTCACACTAAAAACATTGGCTTATAGAGGCTGGAGAGATGGCTCAGTGGTTAAGAGCACTGACTGCTCTTGCAGAGGACCCAGGTTCGATTCCCAGCACCCACATGGCGACTACGAACCGTCCTTAACTCCAGTTCCAGGAGAATCTGAAGCCTTCTTCTGACCTCCATGGCATTGCACGACACAGGTACACTCACATACATGCAGGCAATACACTCATACACATAAAATTAAAAAAAAAAAAAGCAAAAAAACATTGGCTATAACCAAAGGATAATAGGAGTGTAATTAGAAACCCGTACATGTGTGGCCTAACACATTCTTGGATATTATTTGCATTTTCACAGGTCAGAGTCTATAAACTTATGTATCATGAGGATTCAGGCTTGTTTCAGTTTGCTTTTCCCTCTATCTCTAGGGTTGCAATAGTTTCCAAATCATTTGAAGGAAAAACCGACCGCACAGAACAATGGTATGGAACCCAGTACAAACAAGAAGCAATACCAGATGAAGTCATTCAGGTAGGCTTGCACCACCTGTGAATAAACCTGATGTGTGAGAAACCATGAGCTCCCTCATCCATCAACTTAGATTCCAGAGTGTGGAGACTGATGGCCTAGCATTGTCCTGTCCCTAGAGGAGTGGAAGAGAAGCTAGTGCTTGAGGGTGAAATAATGTGTTCTGGCTTCTTCTCATGTGGGGGCTATGAAAGAGGTGCCCAGCTTCTTAGATCAGAGCATTGACGTATTGTGAACACGGGGAAGCACAGGCACCAGTAGAGCAAGAGGTAAGGAAGCAGGGGGTATGGAAGACAGGTGCATGTTTCCAGGAGCTCACACTGTTGCTGTGACCCTGCCTGGGATCCTGGGATTCATACTGTCTTTACTTTAGGTTCTCTCTCTCTCTCTCTCTCTCTCTCTGTTCTCTGTCTTCTTTCTTATCCTCTTTTAATTATACTTTTCCTTATGCACCAGCATTTGTGAGACAAAATTTTTTTTCTTCTTCTTCTTTTTGAGACAGGGTTTCCCTGTATCCCCAGCTGGCCTGGAACTCACTGTGTAGACCAGGCTGGCCTGGAACTCACAGAATCCACCTGCCTCTGCCTTCTGACTGCTGGGATTAAAGGCATGTACCACCACGCCTGACAGTAGTATTTTTTGCCTTCATTGTATAATGAACACCTTTCACTTTTAGTCTTACTAAAAAATATCAGAAAGGCTTTGTAAGTAATGCATTTTTTTTTCTACCATGCCTGAGTGGTGACAATACAGGAAAAAAGAAAAAATAATTAATTTAAATTCTATTTATTACTTGGGGGGAGGGACATACCTAAAGAGGTCAGAGATAACTTTGTGGGCTGCCTTTGCCCGCTGAGTCATCTCTCTGGCCTGAAAAAGAATTCAAGAAAGAAAATCATCACTGGTACTTTAAGGATCACTACATTCCCTAGGGTGTTACCAAACCCATATATATATATATTTTAAATTTTATGCGTGAGCGTTATACTTGCATGTGTATTAGTGCATCTGTATCATGCAGTGCCCACGGAGAACAGAAGAAGGCATCATCCCCTGGAACTGAAGTTACAGATGTTGGTTAGCTGTCATGTGGGTGCTGGGACTCGAACCCAGGTCTTCTACAAGAACACCCAGTGCCCTTAATTGCTGAGTCAGGTCTCCTGCCCAGCAAACCCATATTTCTAAACTGAAGTAAATTCATCTTTCCCCAATCAGTGTTGGAGCTGAAATAATTAAAAAATAAAGAGAATCTCTCATTCACCAAATTCTTTTTAAAGTTTATTTAGAAATTCAGCAGTGAAATGACTTACTAAATGTTTCCTGGTCTCTACTACTCAGCCTTTCTGGAGACTTAAGTTAAAGTCAAGCCCTGCATGGTGGCCCACGCCTTTAATCCCAGATCTCTGTGAAATAAGGCCAACCTGGTCTACATAGCTGGTTATGGTCAACATCACAAACATCCTAGTACCAAAAAACCACATGTGTTGGCACCAAAATAGAACTGCACTGTCTGGAAGGCTGTGACACATCAACTAGATAGCAAATGACTGAATTCAGAATTATTGGTTCTTGATTGCCCTTCTGTTTGTTTGTAGATCAGGCTTGAGATCTGCCTGCTCTACCTCCCGGTACTGGAATTAAAGGCATGCTCTGGCACATCCAGCACTTTTTTGTTTTTTAATACTAAAAAGTCTAAATTAGGGTTGGACAGTCAATGGTCTGTGGTCTGTCCCACTTAGTTTTTGGAACCAGCCCATGGAATAGATCCAACCTCCAGCTGTGTCAATCTAGACTTAAATTTTGACTTTGTCTAAACCTTGTTTTGAATTATTGGCTCACTTGAAAATTCACATGGTTGTCTGGGAGAAATATATATTAGACCTTAAGCACTGAAATAAGGCAGATGCAAGTGGATCTCTGAGTTCAAGGCTAGCCTGGTGGTCTACATAGAGAGTTCAGGCAAACTGGGGCTACATAGGGAGACCCTGTGTCAAATGTCCTCCTCCTTTCACAAAGAAAAGAAAAGGTGGGTAGGGGCACATACCACCAAGACTTATGAATTCAGGTCCCAGAACTCACATGGCAGTCCTAAAGGCAGTCCTGTGACCTCCACATAGGCATGCCTATACCCAGAACACAGAATAAATGTAAAAAAAATAAAAATAAGGAAGTGCCAAAGTGAAAGAAGCTCAGTTAGTCTGGCCTTCAGGCAATAGATGGAGATAACAAGATAGCTGAGAGCCTATGTATTCTTTGTTCCTTAAAGAGCTAGAGCAAACACAGCTTTTGTATGGATCAGTTAACTTCTTTGTGTTCCACAGACTCTATTTTTTCTTTAACCTTAGCTGATTAGGAGCCACAGATGAGTGTTCCTTAGTACCAGAACAATAAACTCAGGTTTCATGAAAACCCATCAGTACATTCTGATTGCAGCCCCTTCATATATGGTGGGAAAGATTGCTGTGTCATTTCTTTCGTTACATATTGTGCAAAGACACTTTTTTGCCTTTTGGATATTTTTGTTGTTTTTGTTTTTTTATTTTGAAACTGGATCTCCCTGTGTGACCCTGACTGACCTAGAACTCACCCAGGCTGGTCTCTTACTCAGGATTCTTCTGCCTCTGCTTTCTAAATACTGGGATTACACATACAATACACCATGTTCGGATAACAGTGGCTTTGCAGTGCGATGTTGTGGACCAAATCAGGGCTATAATCTCAGCCCAAGGATAGTTTTTTTAAACTCTTGAGTTAGACTCTCATTGATTTTTCTGTGTGTGTGTGTGTGTGTGTGTGTGTGTGTGTGTGTATGTTTTATTATTCATCTAGAAATGGCAAAATGCTGACCTGAATGGGAAATTCAAGCTTCCAACAAAGAATGAATTTATTCCTACAAATTTTGAGATTTTATCATTAGAAAAAGATGCAACACCATACCCTGCTCTTATTAAGGTACTGTGTTGATTCGGTTGTTTATTTATTTATGACAGGATCTTAATATGTTGCCCAGGATAGCCCCTGACTCTTGAGGTCAAGTGAGCCTGCTGACTCAGCTCCCTGAGTGGCCCCTTCTATAGGCACATGCTACTATGCTGGCAGAATCAGTGATGTTGAATTTAGGGTCAGACCTATTACAAGAACTAGAAAGGGAGAATTTCTTATGTTTGGTATTTTATTGATGGGGGTATGGGTTCACAGCCTAAGAGATGACAGAAATGTTACAGAAAGAATATAAGAACTATTACAAAGTCAAAAATATGGTGGCAAACAAAACTACTAAACAACATAGAATCTAGAGAATTGCTTCTTTTTTTGGAGGAGAAAAATGTCTAGGCTATAATCGGTAGGTATATTGAAAGGTCTTAGTCTCTTCTCTATACCCACTAAAGACACAGTAAAGAAGTGGGTTTGTGCCATGTCATGAAAGGTAGCAATAAACAGTCTCTGAAGCCTGGAAGGGATCCTGTCTAAAAGAAGCTGTTGGACTCACTGCCCTTAATACAGGAGTTCCTCTTATGATACAGGGGCTATGTGGAGTTACTACACTTACAAATCAGTGGGAAGGCAGATTAGGAAGTGGACTCCCTCCTCCCAGTTTTCAGAATGTTCTTTTCATGTCATTATTTCACACTTGGGTAAAATGTGTAGAAAAACTGATCAGATTATTATAGCACATTTTGTGTTCCAAATTTACAAACTAAAACTTATCTTTCATTGTTTTTGTCTTCTTCAAATGGCCTAATACTCAGATGAAGTAGAGGAGACAAAAGTCATTGTTTAGGAACACAAAATTTAATTTATCTCAGGCAATGAGATTATTGAGATATCCATTTTTCTTTAAAATGATTTTTTTTTGTTGTTCATTTTTGAGACAAGGTCTCCCTGTAGCCGCAACTGTCCTG